ACCCTCAATAATGCATCAACAGAGCTAGGAAACAATCAGTTATACACAAACTTGGAATACTTACACCAAATGGCTTCAATATTAATTTGTCTGCATTCTTCAGGTCATCATTTGTTTGGCTATTCAACCACTACCTCATTGTTCATTTTACCATTTAACCTACCTTTTTTTCTCATGCTTGACTGAAAATGTTTTTTAATCTTTCAATCTATATTTGGTAGTTCTATTATTTCCACTGGTTTGTTTCAACCATAAATTAACATGGGTTATATTCCTGAAAATAATACGCAGATGGATTTTTTTTAAAATAATAACTATTTTGTTATTTTCATTTAAGGTAGCAGTAAAGGAAAAATGAGTTAAATTCTTTTTTGAGTTTACTTGCATAAATATTCCTTTTAACATCTAACGTAATAAGATTCAATAAATTTGAAACCTTACATCTCGTATTATTTGCTGTGCTAATAGTCTATTTGGGAAATCCAAACAAGTAGGCCATTAAAGTAACCCTTTACCCACTTTTGCCAAAATATTTTGTGCATTTTTATGTATTTTTCTATAATTTATTTAATAATTTTTCATAAATGTCATCATAAAAAAACATAAATTCAAGAGAGTCAGTAGGGTTATTCTGACTGTACCACACAATGCATTATTACATATGTACTGCAGTTTATTTTGATTCGTCCCTGAAATCAAAATCGGTATTTCCACACCCCATATGCAAATGAAGTCTGAGAGCAAACAAAGTAGTCCCTTCAGGAGTGTCGGTTTTCAAAACTAAAAATTGGCATTCCAGCTCAGCAGCCAATCAGCGACGGCCTAACGCTTAGATGACAATTTCGGTTTCAAATACCCCGGCTTAGTGTTCTAGGTTCTTCGCGTAATTAGGTGTTCGTATGCAAGGGATTTTTCCACACAAAAACGACGAATTCGGCCGAATTTTGTTATCGATTGGCTTAATATAACCCCAACAGACCGTATTTTTGTGAAAGATTGGTATTTTTGTCCTGATTTGTAGGAATCTGAAAAACGCGTTTCACAACTTGTCTCTTATTTAGTTTTATGCGTCATTCAAGATGGCGGCCCCCATATAGTAAATATCACATTTATTTTATTATATCAGATGTGCGCCAGCTGACTGTGATATGCACATGCAGTGGCTTAGTGATTTGATTCAAGATGGCCGACTGGCAGCCATTATGTTTTTGGACGTGCTTTATTAGTTTTTGTTCAAATTTGCTGCATACATTATACATGTTAAGACGCATATGATGTCTTTGACAATTTGTTTTTCAAAATCGGAAATAAGATGGCTGTCTGGTGGCCATCTTGCTTTTTGAAAATGTATCTTAAACATTAAATTGGGTACATACATTATACATATTAGGATACATGTCTGTGGTAATTTGTTTCACACTTGGATTCAAAATGGCTGAATGGCAGCCATCTTGTTTTTTGAAAATGTTTAGTTGACATCCTTTTTTAGCTCCGCTGTCGACGAAGTCGAGCGGAGCTTATATTACTGATTGTCCATCGGCATCCGGCGGCCGTCGTCAACTTTACATTTTCGACTTCTTCTTAAAAACCACAAACTGTATAGCTGTGAAACTTTCTAGGAAGGTACCTTGGGTGCTTCTCTCTCAGATTTGTTCATTTCGTGTGGATATGTTCAATTGTCTTATTTATAGCGAATATTTTTGTCATTTTTGGTCAAAAATGCTATTTTCGACTTCATTTTGAAAACCGCTAGCCTGAATGCTTTGATACTCAGTATGTAGGTACCTTGGGTGGACCCCTCTCAGATTTGACCATTTTGTGATGATATCTTTAATTCTCTAATTTTGGTAAATATTTTTGTCATTTTTGGTAAAAAGTGATATTTTCGACTTCTTGTTAAAAACCGCAAGCTCGATTGCTTAGATATTACATATGTAAGTACTACATGTGGACCTTTCTCAGATTTGTTCATTTCATGATGATATCTTTAATTCTCTAATTTTGATGAATATTTTTGTCATTTTTGGTAAAAAGTGATATTAAAAAGTGGTTAAAAACCACAAGTCTAATTGCTTTGATATTATATATACTACATAGGTAACACAGGTAGACCTCTCTCAGATTTGTTCATTTCATAATAATTTTGTTCTTCAATTATCTAATTTTAATGAATATTTTTGATAAAAAGTCTGATTGCTTTTAATACTATACATATTGTTCATTTTCTAATGATACCGGGTATCTTCTGTTTTTTAATTGCAATGTGCATTGATAACAGCGGAGCTATCTCAGCCGACGACTGGCTGCTAGTTTTTCAAATATTAGGATACATGTTCTTGACAAGAGGGCCATATGGCCATACTACTATTATATCTATTTATATTTCATATAGGATAGAGTAGGATATTTTATTTGGAACATACACAAAAACAATGTCTGTGTAAAGACCAATACAAGAAACGTAAAATAACACAACTAATCTAAAATGATTTTAGAATATGAAATACAAAATTAGCTAAAATACTTCAAACATATTTGTCTACACTAGAAAAAATCTTGATAAACAATTCTTCATTTGGCAAGATTTGGTAATCAGGTGAGTATATAGTGCATAGAGGAATTTTTCCCTGTGTTCTGAAAACTGTTATGTTTACAGTGAAAAATGTAATGTTTTTCATCACCTACATCATTGGAGTCACACTTGTTACATACCCTGTCAATTTTATTTATTCCTCTGTAACGGCCTGATTCAATTGGCAAGAAGTGGACTGAGATACGGAATTTGGTTATTAATGCTACTCTGCCTTTTTTGTTTTTTATACCATCCAGATATTTTTCAAATTCATAATTATTTTTTAATGTTTTATATTTACTTAGTTTATTATGACCAGTTGTGTCTTATTATCATATCTCACTCATGTTTGTTGAGTAAATTTGGTTTAACCTTTCTTTAAACAGATTGCAAAAATTTCCCTGATTAGTATCCGTGTTTGTCATATTTGTAATTTGTAGAAGTGTTTGGACAAACTTATACCAAGGGGCGTATTTAAACACACTACTTCCTTTAAATGTAGCTTTGGTAATTATGTTGTTTGTTTTCTTACATGACAACCTTTGATAACATTTTATGACAGTAAATCAAAGAAAACTACACAAATTTACTCCATTTAGAAATTCCTAACGATTTGCCCGAACGCACGGCACAGTTGGAGGTGTGGCCTGTTCAGCATT